TAGCCTGGTATACAGGAGATCGTGGGTTCGATCTCGAGCCTGATGCCTGTTTATTTGGAGTTTGCTTGTTGTCCCCGTGGTCACGTGGATTATTCTCCGGGTCCTCCAGTTTTTCCCTCCACATTTATAAACATGCGTTTAGAATATGAGAATAGGTTTTCCCCTTTTTTTTGGGCAACAAAACAGCTGTGTTAAGATGTTAAAAGACCAAACTGAAACCTTTTACAATGAATCATGTCTGCATTAACCACAATATTTGTGGTCATAATGCAAACAAACAAAAATATTCTGATAATACATGCATTGTCTTTGCAACTGATTGGTCCACGCCAGAGACAGCTTTCTTTTGAGCCTCGTCTACAAACGGTGTTAGACCAGAGGACGACAAAAGGCGTATGTTTAGAAAATGTATCGGCTATAAATGTCCACGTGATAAGTCACTCCATTGGGCTATCATGTGTGGCAGCTCAGTGGGCCTTACCTGGTTTTATTTGTTTAGTTTATCGTTTCTATTTTGTAAGGGAGGAGATCTAGGATGAATAAAGCGAGCTGCGATCCACCGTCTTTATGTGGCCTGACCTGACAATAGATGATGAATCATGATGCTGGCAGCGAGTACCGATTGTGCATTTAGCCATTTCTCGTGTCTAAATTTCAACTGGCCAAGTTGACCAGCCTAATTATCGGGAGTGGTGGCAAAGCGGTTAGATCGCTGTGCTACGTACGTGTGTCGAACTTCTTTCGCACCACACACAGCACAGTTGTCTATGTATGGTGCGAAAGAAGTTCCACGTACATACACGTTCAATTCAAATGATCGCATATACGTCGATGCATTGATCGATAAGTTTGTTGAATAGTATAGAGGGACATTTTATGCATTGTAGAATGTTTGCGTTCAAGTGCTTGTAAGATTGACATGTTCGCCAGCATTGTTTCAAGCGAGCCTGACTGCTGATGAGAGACTGAATGTCAAAACTGGTCTTCCTGAGTCATGGAGATGACAAGGGGGAGAGGGACCAGCGGTGTGGACAATCGTGGGGGAAACAATTCTCGAATAACAAAGGCAGCAGTAGCAGCAGCAGCAGAAACGTAGTGAGCTCAAGGGGTTTAGAAGTTAATTCTGGGTTTATCCAAGGAGCCCGAGGCTGCTTCGAGTCAAGTTTACAAACGGAGGAGTGCAAGCGGGACGAGCAGAGAGATACGTGCCATCGCTAGACCACAATCCGGTTTAGTTTAGAGGGTTGAAATTTTCTGTTGTGCAGCGCTCTGTGATCTTCCGATGAAAGGCGCTATATAAAGATGAAGAGTTATTTTCACAAAAATAGTACGTACGTATAGATATATTTACGTCGAAACGCGCATTCTGCGTAACGCCCCGAGTGATTCGCCCAGTGTTTGTTACACTGCACCAACTGTGCGCACGCCAGTGGAGCGGTGGTGCAGCGGTTAGGGCGCGGCGCTACGAACCCGGTGAACCGGGTTCAATTCCCGGCCACGGGCTGACATCGGTGATGAGTTGGTATCAGAACCGGTGGGAGCCTCCCCCACCATTCACCAACTCTCACTGTGACTAGCATGATGCAGGATCTTAAAAAAAAAACTCTCAGAACTGACATGGCAATGTCGAGACCTTGATCTATATGCTGTGAGTGTAGAAAGTTAAAATGTACCAAAAATAATTAGCCACGTTTTCGGCGATGGTACTTTCATTCCCTTTAATATTACTCGAGCACGGTATATATATGTTCCTTAAATTAACGACGAACGTCAAAAATAAAATGGTAAATATATATGTCTGTGCTCATGACCACTGCCAATGCAATCGCTTAATATTTTTTACGTGAGCACGACTGCCAGTTAATCTGAAATGCTGATCAGCCTGCCAATAGAGGGTCCACTGATCTTGCGTCACAGACCACACTTTGACCAACAAAGACGCACGTCGCAGCCCACCGCGGTGAATGAGATTTTTCCATCGGAATCCCACGTGTATCTCGAAGTAAACTTGGGTGGAACAAAAAGGAGGTCGGCAGGAGAACGACACTTGGGTGGGTCGACTACGAAAACGACCGCGGCGTCAGCTTTTGAGTGGCGACGCTACTGGGAGAAAAAATGCAGTGATTTTTTTTATTGAATTGGGAAAAATAATCGGATGTAAAACAATGGATTTCGGCGGTACTAATACTGATGTAAGTTTCATGTTATTTTTTTGTTATAAAATTGATTTCCAGTAAACATGGACATGTTCTCCGATTAGTACGGTTGGCTACATATGCTGTCAAAGAAGTTCAACATATATACAAAAAAAATTCTTTTTTTACAAAATGTCTCCATGCTCAAATGATTTCAGCTGCGCATAGAGCGGTGTAATTTCACATTACCGGTGCAGAGACCGATCTCTCCAGAGTACAACCACTGTTGCTCCCTCCCACAAAGCAGTGCTCGTTTCATGGACCCTGGAGGGCATTACTGGCCAAGTCACATCCCATCTAGGATTCGAACTCGGAGACCTTCTGACCGTGTCAAGTTGTGCTCACTAAAGAGCCACCCCTGCCAGGCGTCATCAATGGGTCTCGAGTGCGGGTCAATGTGAACGTAGAGAGGTTTGCTTACAGCTCGCGAATGGAGTTGGCCAAAAATACAAATAGAGGATCGCAAAGCTCGGGCAAAGGTTTCGTGCCGGTTCTGGCCTGCCATCACACTTTTCTGTGGTTTTCCAGCACCTCCGTGCCACAACATCCTACAGTGTTTTGAGATGCAATTTGCAAGACCGATACTGCTACAAATAAAACATTATTGTTATGTTATGCAAGCGTGGGCGGGTGTGTTGATTGAGGATCCGAGCTTGCGCAGAGGCAAGCGCTCAATTGCATCATCGGTGAGCGCAGGGGAGGGAGCAGGTGAGGGAGCAGGTGAGGGAGCAGGTGAGGTAGCAGGTGAGGGAGCAGGTGAGGGAGCAGGTGATGGAACAGGTGAGGGAGCAGGTGAGGATGCAGGTGAGAATGAAGGTGAGGGAGCAGGTGAGGGAGCAGGTGAGGATGCAGGTGAGGATGCAGGTGAGGGAGCAGGTGAGGGAGCAGGTGAGGATGCAGGTGAGGGAGCAGGTGAGGGAGCAGGTCATGGAGCAGGTGAGGGAGCAGGTGAGGATGCAGGTGAGGATGCAGGTGAGGGAGCAGGTGAGGATGCAGGTGAGGGAGCAGGTGAGTATGCAGGTGAGGGAGCAGGTGAGTATGCAGGTGAGGATGCAGGTGAGGGAACAGGTGAGGGAGCAGGTGAGGGAGCAGGTGAGGATGCAGGTGAGGAAGCAGGTGAGAGAGCAGGTGAGGATGCAGGTGAGGGAGCAGGTGAGGGAGCAGGTAATGATGCAGGTGAGGGAGCAGGTGAGGGAGCAGGTGAGGGAGCAGGTGAGGGAGCAGGTGAGGATGAAGGTGAGGATGCAGGTGAGGGAGCAGGTGAGGATGCAGGTGAGGGAGCAGGTGAGGGAGGAGGTGAGGGAGCAGGTGAGGGAGCAGGTGAGGGAGCAGGTGAGGATGCAGGTGAGGATGCAGGTGAGGGAGCAGGTAAGGGAGCAGGTGAGGGAGCAGGTGAGGGAGCAGGTGAGGATGCAGGTGAGGGATGCAGGTGAGGATGAAGGTGAGGATGCAGGTGAGGATGCAGGTGAGGATGCAGGTGAGGATGCAGGTGAGGCAGGTGAGGGAGCAGGTGAGGGAGCAGGTGAGGATGCAGGTGAGGGAGCAGGTGAGGATGCAGGTGAGGATGCAGGTGAGGGAGCAGGTGAGGGAGCAGGTGAGGGAGCAGGTGAGGGAGCAGGTGAGGATGAAGGTGAGGATGCAGGTGAGGGAGCAGGTGAGGATGCAGGTGAGGATGCAGGTGAGGGAGCAGGTGAGGATGCAGGTGAGGATGCAGGTGAGGGAACAGGTGAGGGAGCAGGTGAGGGAGCAGGTGAGGATGCAGGTGAGGAAGCAGGTGAGAGAGCAGGTGAGGATGCAGGTGAGGGAGCAGGTGAGGGAGCAGGTAAGGATGCAGGTGAGGGAGCAGGTGAGGGAGCAGGTGAGGGAGCAGGTGAGGGAGCAGGTGAGGATGAAGGTGAGGATGCAGGTGAGGGAGCAGGTGAGGATGCAGGTGAGGGAGCAGGTGAGGGAGGAGGTGAGGGAGCAGGTGAGGGAGCAGGTGAGGGAGCAGGTGAGGGAGCAGGTGAGGGAGCAGGTGAGGATGAAGGTGAGGATGAAGGTGAGGATGCAGGTGAGGGAGCAGGTGAGGATGCAGGTGAGGGAGCAGGTGAGGGAGGAGGTGAGGGAGCAGGTGAGGGAGCAGGTGAGGGAGCAGGTGAGGATGCAGGTGAGGGAGCAGGTGAGGGAGCAGGTGAGGATGCAGGTGAGGGAGCAGGTGAGGATGCAGGTGAGGATGCAGGTGAGTGAGCAAGTGAGGATGCAGGTGAGGATGCAGGTGAGGATGCAGGTGAGGGAGCAGGTGAGGGAGCAGGTGAGGGAGCAGGTGAGGATGCAGGTGAGGATGCAGGTGAGGGAGCAGGTGAGGGAGCAGGTGAGGATGCAGGTGAGGGAGCAGGTGAGGATGCAGGTGAGTGAGCAAGTGAGGATGCAGGTGAGGATGCAGGTGAGGATGCAGGTGAGGGAGCAGGTGAGGGAGCAGGTGAGGGAGCAGGTCAGGATGAAGGTGAGGATGCAGGTGAGGGAGCAGGTGAGGGAGCAGGTGAGGGAGCAGGTGAGGGAGCAGGTGAGGATGCAGGTGAGGAGCAGGTGAGGATGCAGGTGAGGATGCAGGTGAGGATGCAGGTGAGGATGCAGGTGAGGGAGCAGGTGAAGATGCAGGTGAGGATGCAGGTGAGGGAGCAGGTGAGGATGCAGGTGAGTGAGCAAGTGAGAATGCAGGTGAGGATGCAGGTGAGGGAGCAGGTGAGGATGCAGGTGAGTGAGCAAGTGAGGATGCAGGTGAGGATGCAGGTGAGGATGCAGGTGAGGATGCAGGTGAGTGCTCACCTTGACGTCGGGAAAGTAGAGCTTGAGCATGTTGGAGCTGGGGTAGCGAGTGTAGAAGAAAATGAGCTTCGCCTTCTTGAGGTGCGTGGGCGTGAGCCCATCCTGGATGTGCACCGATGGTTAAGGACCACGGACATGAAGCCAATGAAGACCAGAGTTGCTATGCCTCCTAATGCAGCAGAAGTCGGGTATCAGCACACCGAATGTAAGCATGGAATCAAAAGGCAGGCGATGCACGCTCCTCCGCACAGTGTTTGTCTCTCTGAATAATTTGTTGAGTTTTTTTTTATTTCACACATTCCGCCAGCCACACGGCCCACCGACCGGGAGGGCAAATTTTCAGCAGAATTGATTCAACGGAAGCCAAAGCTCCGGACTGGGTTCGACACTCAGAGTCGGGCTCGCTTGAAGCCACGCTCGGTGGGAACTGCCGGATGCTTGTTGGCAAGGAGCGCTCTCTGCTTCGATGTGGGTACCCTCGTTCGACGCGAAACAATGCAATGCGCGACGCAGCAACAGCCGTTAGCCTCGTTGTGGAGAATACAAGGAGCAAAATTAACCAAGCAGGCAAAGCGCCTCCTTCACACGCGTGACCTTCCACGTAAAAATATAAATGTTGTTTTTACACAACCCACATGAGCACAGTTCTGATAAAGGCGACTCATGCTGACATTACACTGGTGGGTTGAGGGGGCGAAGGCAAAGGACAACTTTGTATATAAGCACACATACTTCGGATATAAGAACAACTGGCCTTGCTCCCTATATCTAGGTTCAGTTGTAAAACTAATCATAATAATGATGACCAAACAGATGTATATTGTGCCAGCTGTTAAAGAGCCACACTCATTACCTTGTAACACACACACAGGGTGCTACATCAATTCATTATATGCTCACCAGCCAAGCCTTGCACGTTCACCCAAGTGGTGCCTTCAAAAACAGTGACATTCGCAGTGCTCACAATAATAAGATTCCTGATACTAAAAGCCAGGAATTAGGGCCACACTTAAAATCAGATGCACAAGTGGCTTCAAACTGAGACCTGGAAAGCACATGGCCTATGATTGTACTGGAAAACCAGATTTAGCTTCACGTACGTGTGCAAAACCTCTGCACTCAAGAACAACGGGATGGGCATTTAATCAGTGGCCGCAGTGGTAACACCCGCGCCTCAGCAAGGGAGGCCCTGGGTTCGAATCCTGGCAGGCTCGGACGCCTTTCATTGTGGAGTGTGTTTGTTGTGCCCCATGTTCTGCAGAGTGTGTGAGAGTGTGTGAGAGTGTGAGTGCGTGTCAATGGAGTGTGAGAGTAGAGTGTGAGAGTAGAGTGTGAGAGTAGAGTGTGTGAGAGTGTGAGTGGGGTGTGAGTGGAGTGTTTGAGAGTGTGAGTGGAGTGTGAGTGGAGAGTGTGAGAGTGTGAGTGGAGTGTGAGTGGAGAGTGTGAGAGTGGAGAGTGAGTGGAGTGTGTGAGAGTGGAGAGTGAGTGGAGTGGAGTGTGAGTGGAGAGTGTGAGAGTGTGAGTGGAGTGAGTGTGGAGTGTGTGAGAGTGGAGAGTGAGTGGAGTGTGTGTGAGTGGAGTGTATGAGAGTGGAGTGTGAGTGGAGTGTGTGTGAGTGGAGTGTGTGTGAGTGGAGTGTGTGAGAGTGGAGTGTGTGGGAGTGTGAGTGGAGTGTGAGTGGACTGTGAGTGGAGTGTGAGAGAGTGTGTGAGAGTGGAGTGTGAGAGTGGAGTGTGAGAGGAGAGTGTGAGTGGAGTGTGAGTGGAGTGTGAGTGGAGAGTGTGAGTGGAGAGTGTGAGTGTGTGAGTGGAGTGTGTGAGGGTGTGAGTGGGGTGTGAGTGGAGTGTGAGTGGAGTGTGAGTGGAGTGTGAGAGGAGAGTGTGAGTGGAGTGTGAGTGGAGTGTGAGTGGAGTGTGAGTGGAGAGTGTGAGTGGAGAGTGTGAGTGTGTGAGTGGAGTGTGTGAGGGTGTGAGTGGGGTGTGAGTGGAGTGTGTGAGAGTGTTTGAGAGAGTGAGTGTGTGAGAGTGTGAGAGTGTGATATTGTGAGTGAGTGAGTGTGTGAGAGTGTGAGAGTGTGATATTGTGAGTGAGTGAGTGCGTGTGTGTGAGTGGAGTGTGAGTGGAGTGTTTGTTGTCCCCCCATGTTTCGAATGGGTTTCTCCTCAGGTCCTCTGGTTTTCTCTAGTAGCTAACAATTCGTCCCATCTGTAATGGAGCTGGTATTGGCCAAAACATCCCAATGCTGAACAATTACCTGCAAATTTACTCGATTGAGATTACAAACCGTAACAACATCGCCCCCCCACCTCCTGCTCCTGCAAAAACTTGGCAAGGCCATCCTGAAAACGAGTCGAGACTCGGTGAAACATTTCTCGGTAAACAAACGTAAATATAATCAAGTAATTAATGCACAACTGTTCACGCATCGATTCCATGCCGTCGGGCATCACGGTGTAAAGTGTGATCTCTCCACTCCACCCCTCTCTGCTCTGGAGAAGTTATGTTGCTCAACACTTTAATAACATAAATATATGAGAATAGGTTTTCACTTTTTTTTCTGGCAACAAAACAGGTGTTGAGATGTTAAAACACCAAACCGAAACTTTTTACGAGGAATCATGTCTGCATCAACCACAATGCTTGTGGTCAGAATGCAAGCAAAAACACACTCTGATAATATATGCATTGTCTTTGAAACTGATTGGTCCACACCAGAGACAGCTTTCTTTTGAGCCTAGTCCCAAACGGTGTTAGACCAACACCTGTTTTGTTGCCAGAATAAAAAAGGGGGAAAACCTATTCTCATATTTTGGTACTGGCAAAGTAGGTCCCATGAAATATAAATTTATATATAAATAATACAATGTACAACCACTTGCCAATCCAGTGCATGATTACGTGTTAAATTGTCAACGAAGGTTGTTTTTACTTCACTTCCCCATGCTGATCGCGGTGCCAGTTGGCAAAGGGAGGCCCCAATGTCAGGATATACTCGCCACCGACGGTCTCGCCGTGGCCGGGAATCGAACTCAGGTCGCCAGGGTTCACAGCTTAGTGCCACTACCCACTGCGCTACTGCCCCGCGACAAAGCCCCACGGGTGTTCTAGATTGTTCCGCTGCGAGGCAATATCAATGATGAAAGCAGCGAGTTTTGTCTCTCTCTTCACTGTTCATACTTCACGTGGCAAAATGTGAGCACGAGCACTTGCGTACGGATTTTCAGTTACATGACCGCACTGGAATTCTTCGCAAATGATTAAGCGCGATTTATCCACAATGCACTCTGCCAGACAGGATGCTATTCCCAGGATTCAGTGGGTGCATCTGTGTGTTTTTTTTTGGTTGTTCAAAATTAAATGTTGGGAAAAAACCCACAAGGAAACGGTGAGCAGATTGAAATCAAACTTCACATGAGGACCGTGAAATGTGTTCCCCAACCCCCAACCCGCCCCCCTCCTTGAACTCGTGAGTTGCGTAATTCTCTTTCCAACGTCAAACGAATTTGGTGGCCGAGTGACTTTTCGAAGCGACACACACAAATCCCTCTTTTGCAGCTATCGCGTCACGCTTTTTACACGGGTGACGTAATATCATTATTTTTTTTCTCTCTCCAACTATCACGTTAGTTATTCGGTTTTCTCAGGAGCCCGGTCTGACGTTTTTTCCAAATTCTGTCATCGGCATTGTGGTCTCGTGTAGCATCCCACAAGCTTTTGCTTGAAACAAATAATAAAAATCCACGTGGACGTATGAACACCTCTCAGAGGAGTAGGTGGGGTGCGGAAATGTTAGAAGCTGCGCGCAACGCACGTGTAACGAAATTACGCGGCCGCGTGGAAAATTGGGGGAGTTGAATGGTGGTGGTGAATCACTAGGGGGGGGGGGCGGGTGGGGGAAACGTCAAATAAAATTTGTACTTAACCATCGCCGATGCGATAGAAGCGATTATTCCGTCAGGTTTATCGGGTTAACGTGCACGAGGAGAGGTTGCCTGAACGTTTACAACGTCAAGAAACACGGAGGGAAGCCAAAGTTGTGTTTTTTGTTCAAAGGAGATCTGGATATACAACAACAACAACCGGCGATTGGTTTGACATTAAGCGATAATTATTTTGTAGCAACCTTGCAGAGATGGTGATGATCGTGGGCTGAGTCGACCTCATGTCGGGATTCAAATCATCTGCAAGGTTACAGCTCCGATTCGGCCGGACAAGTTTAAATAAACGGCGAGGAATATAATCACGTTTTTTTGTAAAGCAAGAGTTCATTAACCCGTAGAATATATCTATATATATAGAGAGGGACTTTGATAGCGCTCAGATGAATGATAGGTCATCAGACAACTTTTTTGTTACATTTCTTTGTAATTATAACGTATCTCTTGATATAACCATTACCGCGTAGATGTGAGGTGTCTAAAGAAAGGATAATTATAGTTTGTGGGGGTAAAAAAAAAAAGTTTGGTTCCATCTGTAATGAGATTTTTTTTCTTGTCAGTGTTCACAGCTTCACCTGCAAGGTGCAGCGTTAATTAATTAAGACACCTCGTGTGCGCGCGGGCACGCGCACAATGACGACAGCACGTAAACACGAGCTGTCTATCGGCGCACACACACAAAACACATTATTTTTCGATTTAAAGCTTTCGTGACTGCAGGGATTCATCTTCTTGGTTCTTTCGGTAAAGTCACGTAGAAGGGAAGTAATAAAATAATAAAAATAAAACATAATAAAACAATTCTCACGACGTTTCGGCCACAACGCAAGCAGCCGTCCTCAGGTGAAAACCAGGTCCGTCGAGGCGACAGAGTCTGAATGAAAGTGGCCGAAACGTCGTGAGAATTGTTTTATTATGTTTTATTTTTATTATTTTATTACTTCCCTTCTACGTGACTTTACCGAAAGAACCAAGAAGAAAAAAACACATTATATTCAGAAATAATTGTCTTTTACAGATCCCCGCTTAAGTTGGCAGATATCCGTCAGATGTGCGACATCAAAGAGTCGGGATATCTGCAAAGGAAGCAGCTGAGCTTTTTCTTTATCTTACCAATCTTTAGTAATTTCAGACTTGCACCTGATGGCCTTAAAGAACGCTGCCGATATG